ATCCGCCTGGTGCCTCAAATTCTCAAACAGTTTATTTGAATACCGTGTGAATGGCTAATCTCCGACAAGTTTTGGGGCTTTAACAAGGTAAACAGTTGGGTGGGCTGTGAAAGTAAACACTGCATTTCCTCCCAGTCTCATCCTCTTCTCCCAAATTCCGCTCCCTCATTTCTTTCAGGAGGCCCAGCCTTCCCCTTCCAAAGCTTGGTCTCTTGTACCCTGTAAATGTACTGAAATTGCAAAGGAGACATTTTTAATTATAAGTATCACAGTAATGAATTCAAGTACACTCGTTTATCATAAAGGGCTTTTCCATCTGTCTCTAAAGTATACTTAAAAAGACTGTGTATTTGATAACATTAGCACTGAGCATCTTTCACATGTTGATGCTCAGCGTTTTAGATATTCGCTCCCCCACCCTCAAAGACAGCATGGTGGTGGTTCCAGAAAGATCACATTTATCTCTGTGTTTGGGAGTGCCTGTGTGGTCTCTTCCTAATTTATTTGCACTCCAATCCTCAGGGATAGCATCGCAATCCCCCTAGGCAAAAGGAGATTAGGGATCTGGGCAGTCTGCTTCTCCCCACCCTGACAGAGAAGGGAAAACAACTTCCCCAAGTCCCACAAGTTCTCTGGCCACTGTACAAATTGTTCTTGAGCACCGAGGGTTTCCAAAAGCCCTAATTAGCAACTCACAGCAAACATTTCTTTGCATTAGCTAATGATCCGGCTACACTTGTAAGCAAACAGAACCAACATATCTAATCAATGCTGAAAAACCAACCAAATGCCTATTAAACATCTGGATGTAATTTTCTAGTTAGAACAAAATGAAAACATATGCAGGTTCCTTTGATCCGCGTCTTAACAAAGAAATTGTTGATAAAAAAGCATACTGGTCAGTCAATGTGTCATTTTCATAAAGTCTGCTCGTTTCTCTTCAAATGCTCCCAGTTTAATTTAGTTGGTTTCCTGCAATCTCTAATTTTACCATATTGTGTGAAACCGCAAGAGATTCTTTGGATGTGATTTTATTTGAGGTTTTACTGCTGCATGGATTTGCTACTGACTTTTTTTTCCCTTTCCTTCTCTGCTTTCTCCCTTCCAACCCCATGCCCATCCTGTTCTTTTCTTTGGTAAAATGCTGAGGGAAAAAGGTTATAAAGTAATGCTGGGAAGATTTCTTCTGGACCCTACATTTTTAGGTTTAAGAAAACTTCCAGTTTAAAAAAAAAGTCAAGTGAGGAAATGTATAATAGCTGAAAGGAAGAGAAAATGACAAAAGTGATCTTTTTAAAATGTGTGTAATTAGTATTTATTTTAAGTAAAAAAGTAACAGATTTAAAAGATGTATAATTTCCATGACCAGCATTCATAATTTTTCCTATTGTGTCTAGTACCTATACAACAGATAGCACTTAGTTTTTGTAATCACTTATACTATTAGTGAATTGAAAATTTGGTAACTCAGCAACAAATGAATGGAAATATGCTCATACATGCATCAATGATAAACAGCAATCTTTTTGTTTTCTTGTACAGGATAAAGAGGGAACTTTTTTCCAGAGACAATTTCCTATGGAAGCAGAGTACTTAATATTATTTCATGTAAAAACATCATCAACATATGAATATGGTAAAGGTAAAGAAGATTATGGTTAACAGACTTTAGACAGAAGACCAAAATTACAGATTTCGTGAGTAGAACTATTTTACTTTAAATAGGCTGTAGGCAATCTGCACATATATTATTTATTTAAAACATAAGATTAAAGCTACTTGATTGTTTAAACACCATCATTTGTAATGCAGTTTGATGAGAGTTTTGTAGTATAATTATTACAGCATGACAATCACATAGAAAAAATGACCTTGAAAAGGGGCCCAGCCTCCGCTCTCAAGGAGGATGTGCTGTAAGAGAAAGAAGCCATCGAAAACCGACCATCTTTAGGCACACAATTAAAGGCCTTTCAACTTTCAAATCAGTATTCTTTCTTTTCTCCAAATACTACATCAGAAGGAAATCAGACGGCCTGGTGTATCAAACTCGACTGGTAAAGAAGCAGGAGTTAAAAGAGAATTTCTCGCTGTTCACCTAAACTGTCACAATATTGTTAATCAGCTATACCCCAATACAAAATAAAACATTTAAATAAGCAAATAAAAGAAACTTTCTAATTTTTCCCTTTGGCAGACTAGGAAATGTGGTGAGTAGACATGTTTGCTGTGAACAGTTGTATTAGAGAATATTGGCCTGGCGTGCTGCAGTCCATGGGGTTGCAAAGAGACGGACACGACGGAGCGACTGAACTGACTGACTTACTGACTGACAATGTGTTAGGGATTTCCCTAGTGGTCCAGGGGTAAGACTTTGCTCCCAATACAAGGGGCCCAGGTTCCACCCTTGGTCTAGATCCCACACGCTGCAACCAAAGATCCTGTGTACTGCAGCTGAGACCCGACACAGCCAAAACAAATAGATATTAAAATTAAAACAAACAAGCAAAAATGTGTTAGAACACATCTTGAAGGGGATGAGGAGTGGCGAGAAGTAGCAACACTTTTGCTCCTGTTTTAACGTCTCTGAAAGTGAAGTCGCTCCGTCGTGTCCGACTCTTTGCGACCCCATGGACTGTAGCCTACCAGGATCCTTCGTCCATGGGATTTTCCAGGCAAGGGTACTGGAGTGGGTTGCCATTTCCTTCTCCAGGGGATCTTCCTGACCCAGGGATTGAACCCGGGTCTTCCAAGTTGTAGGCAGATGCTTTACCATCTGAGCCGCCAGGGAAGTCTTAAATTTAACTACTAGCATGTGCCAGTAAATCCAAGTAAAGCTTGGGTAAGGCCACGGAGAAGTCTTAGTTGCTCTAGTTGTCCCTGCATGTAGAGGCATATTGGTGGAATCTAAGCACTTTCCACACAACCCTGGAGCTGATTACAGGATGAAGCAACCATAGACAGGTACAGGTGACCCAATAAAGGCCACAGGTTGCCAATCCCAACTCAAGGAAGCTATGAAACAAGCCGTGCAGGGCCACCCAATAAAGACAGGTCATGGCAGAGAGTTCTGACAAATTGTGTTCCACTGGAGAAGGGAATGGCAAACCACTTCAGTATGCTTGCCTTGAGAACCCCACAAACAGTATGAAAAGGCAAAAAGATATGACACTGGAAGATGAGACCCCCAGGTCAGTAGGTGTCCAGTATGTTACTGGGGAAGAGTGGAGAAACAGCTCCAAAAAGAATGACTCAATGGAAATGAGTTTGAGCAAACTCCGGGAGACAGTGATGGACAGGGAAACCTGGTGTGCTGCAATTCATGGGGTGGCAAAGACTTGGCCTGAGCGACTGAACAACAGGTTGCCAACCCATGGTTGTATGATTCAAAAAGTCCTGTATGTGGAGCAAGACTGCGCTCATCGCTAAATATAACCAAGAAAAGAGGCAGTGCTTCCTTGCTATTCATTTCCAATGTCATCAGAAATGAATAATAGGACCCACTCCCTTAACCCCACTTAATGAGCCACAATACTGAACTTGTTTGAGAATTACTATGGCGTTGTACAGACTGGCTAAAGTCGCTCCTTTAATTTTTCATTTATAATTGATATTTGGGATTGATCCAATTATAGACAAATCAATATCATACATATTTAAGAACTCCACCAGTGAAATGTATTATCTAAAATGATTCTTTTAATATTTCAAGGAAAAGATCTCTGTAAAAGCAAATCTTCGAATAAATTGTATTTCTATTTAAATAAATGCCTTTCTATAATTCTCTTGAAAGTAAAATAATGGGAACATGGGGCCATTAACACCAAAAACTGAAGTATATTCCAACATCAGATGAATGCTTGTCAAAGATGTGTCTTTCTCATGGAAGAATTCACCCCTATTTGGCTAAAACAGCATTATTCACTTACCAATCATGTGGAAATAGCTCAACCGAACTGCTCTTTAACGTATAAAAGCAGCAATATTGAAGGTTTTCTGTGGGATGTATTTTAGAAAAACTGACAGAAACTGGAGATTTACGCAGTATGCTCCGTTTATTTAAAATCTTAAAATCCTTTTCAAGTCAAGTTCCAGCTCACAAGAATTTTTGCGACGTCTTTTCCACAAAGCTTCCCATTTAGCTCCTTACATAGTTAAGGGGGGGGGGCGGTGCCACCCGAACTGTGGGGGTGGTGTGGGCAGGACGGGTTTTTCAGGTCTCAATGCTGTTTATCCCATTGTCTCCCTTTGTTTCTAGAAATTGGAAACAGAAACTGGAAACAGGTCGTGTTCCTGAGAGGCCCCTGGAACGCTCAGTAACCCTCTTCCACCCAGTACAGCGAAATCGGTACTTTAAAAGAGAAGGACCCGAGATTTTGCGCGGCGGGCAAAACATATCCATGATCGGGACGCGCCAGCCTTACCCTGAACAGCTCCTCGGGTATCCTTCCCGCCAACTTAGGCCGATCTTTTTGCAAAGTGGTTTGAAATACTCCAATAAAAACCAATTCCTACCACCTTGACTGCAAAAGGGGGCGTGAGCATTTAGAAGCCTAGTCCTAAACCGCTGGTCTATCTACGCAGCCAATGAGTTGCCTATTTATGCAGTTTCCATGAAGTGCACAGTCCACTCCTCGGGCATCCGCGAAAAGACAGGTCAAGGCAAAACAATCCTCACAGAAATCTTGAATATGACCTCACTTTCAAGAGTAGCATCGAACAGGGGGCTCCGAAAGACACCTTTGGCTTGAACTACCAGAAAGCACCCACTCTCCCGCTTAAGAAACTACGCGGTTAGTCTCTGGGTTACTTTCACTGAGATCTGAGGATTTTCATTAAAGGGAAAAGTGAACAAGTGGCAGGATTTCTGCAAACTCGAACCCCCGGCTTCCGAGGCTGCACGCTCGCGGGTCCCTCCAGCTCGCGCGCTCCCGCGCGCTCCCTCGTCAGCCCCACGTTACTTTGATTGACAGCCCGGCCCCGCCGCTCTCCTTCCCACCGACCTTCCCATCCACCGTGCCAATCTCCGCGTCTCGCTGCTTCCCATTGGCTGGTTTCGACGTCCCGCGGCTCCTCCAGGAACAGTTCCTCACCGAGCCCGGGAGGACGCGGCTGGCGGAGGAGTGGTGGGGGTGGATGGGAGGGGAGACGGGGGAGACGGCGGAGATGGAAGCAAGTGGGGTGGGAGAGAAGAGGGGGACCGGGTGAGACGGGCTGTCCGGTGCCGCGCTGCCATAGGCTCTGGGGAGGCGTCTCGTCAGCACCCCACGTTGGGCGCGCCGCAAGCGATTGGCTGACGAGGGCCTTCCCCCCGCCCCCCTCCACCAGACAGGCTCGCGTCCCCCGCCGGCTCCGCGCTCGCGCCCCCCGCCCGCGCGGTGCTGGGCGGGGCCGGCGCTGGTTAGCTCCGGAGTGTGAAACCGCGTGTTAATGTAACCGGCGCGAGAGGCGCGGGCGGCGGCAGCGGCTGGAGCGGCGGCTGCTGGAGCAGCGGCGGCGGCGGCGGCGGGTACCCTGTGTCCTGCGTCCCCGAGGCAGCCGACTGCGCCACTCCCGCCTTCGCAGGACCGGGCGGGAACCGCGCCACCAGCCGGGACCTCCGCCTGCCCTCGGCAACTTAACCGCCTCCGCGACTACTCCGGACTTGCCCGCGGAGTTTGCCGGCCTGGGAGGGAGGCCGAGCGTCGGAGCGCACTCTTGGGCTTTTCCTCACCGTCTCTTGGATGTCTTTCCCCGGGTCGTGAGAGAACTTTGCAGCGGTCTGGAGCGCCCGTTGAGGAGAGGCAGACGAAAAGGAAAGAAAGGGGGTCGACGGAGAGGCTCTGAGAAAGGGTCCGGAGAGGTCTGGCCGGCGGTGCAGGACCAGTGCGCGCGGGCCGCGGCGCCCGGATGCGCCGAGGTCTGGAGGAGCAGCGGGCGGTTGCGGGACTGCCCTCGACAGAGTAGACCCGTCGGCCCAGGAGGGTTTGTGCAACCTCGGAGAACACCCAGAGCCGGCTGCACTGGGCGTGCCAAGCCGCCTTCTGGCGCGCCCTCCGCACTTTCCCCGCCTCGTCGTCATCCCGCGCTCCTCGGCTCGGGTTAAGGCTGCGGAGCGCCGGGCGCGGAGCCTCCGCGGCGACCGGGACCTCGCACCCCGTCGCCTCACGGGAGCCCGCGAGCTCCCGGTGGTGAGCGCTGCCTGGGCCCGAGGGGGGTCACCCCTGAGCACCGCCAGGTTTGTTTGTGTGGGGTTAGCCGGGGGCGCCGCGCCACCTGCATCTCGCTGGCGGGCGCCTCGGGGAATACCCGAAGAAGAGGCGGACCTGGAGAAGACCAAAGGAGAGCAGTCTTCCCCTGGATTTGTTGCCCGGGACCGCTGCGGCGCACGCGGATCGCCGAGAGGAGCACCGAGTCACATCTCTCAGCCCGGGCGGCCGAGGCCCGCGGGTGGAAGCGCAGCCCGCGCGCCCTCACGAGCTCCAGCGGCGTCCGCAGGTTCTTGGTGCGGCCGGGCCCGGAGTGCCCTGTGATGTGGCCCTGAGCGCGGGAGTCCGCGCGGGCGGGAGCAGAGCGGCCTGTGCGTCCCGCCGAGCGCGCCTGCGTGCGTGGCCAGCGCGCTGCCCGCTTCTGCCTGGCTTCCCGGCTTAATTTTCCTCGGCGGGATTAAAGTTGGAAATCGAGCGGAGAATTGAGTTGCCCGGGAACAGAGCCGCGGCCGCCGCCAGAGCGATGTTCCCGCAGAGCCGGCACCCGGTGAGGCGCGGTGGTGGTGGAGTGGGGGGCAGGGAGGTGGCGGAGTGGTGGTCGCTCTTTCTGTGCGGTGAGGAGATGGGTGGCTGCTACCATCTGGCCGAGCCCCCTGGCCTCCAAGGGTGCAAGACTTGGGAGGTCCCGGGCCCTCTCCTCCTGTGTGGGAAGGGGGCTGAAACTCTCAATTCTACCCCTTTGCTCTAGGCTCCCTCCTACTTGACGTCTAGACCGGGCGGGCGGGGCGCTTAGGGAGACTGGGGTTTCTCCCGCGGCCGCATCCTCGCCCTTCCCCAGGCGGGTAGTGCGCCCCCCGCTTTGTCTCTCGTCTCGCCTATTTACATGTCAATGAGGCCCCGGTTCCGGCGCGCCTGGAGGTGGCCCCGGCGACTCTGGGAACGGGCAACATCAGGGAGTTTTCTCCTCTGGTCCCCGGGGTCATTATTTCCCCTGAGGGAGGGGGCGGCGTCGTCGACGACAATCTGGCCAGGTCCTCCAGGGCCGCCGCCGGGGACCCTTGTCCCTTCAACCAGGTGACCCAGGCGCACTCACCGCGTCCCACCCTGGAGGCTGGAAGAGGCTGCGAGCGTCATTTGAGGAGCTTCAGATCTGGGAAGGTCCATCTTCCCTTCTCCCTAAGTGAAGCGCAAACTCGAGTTCCGGACTCCGTTTGGCGCCGCTTCTAACTTTATTTTTTGTTTATGTCCCACCCACTCTTGGATTCTGCTTTATCCACCCGTCCGCATCCCGGTCGCTCGGTCCCCCTCGCTGATCGCCCTTAGACGCCGCACCAGGCTGCAGGCCAGCCCTTCAAGTTCACTATCCCGGAGTCCCTGGACCGGATTAAAGAGGAATTTCAGTTCCTGCAGGCGCAGTATCACAGGTGCGTGTCGGGCCGCGCCCGGTGAGTGGTGGCCCGGGCAGCACTGTGCCCCGGGTCGCCCCTCCTGGTGGCGGCGGCGGCTGTACTTAGTACTTGCGTCCAGGCGGTGGCGCGTGGAGTCGCAGTTAAGACCTGTCATTCACGTTACCCCTTTCCCCTGCTCTTCCCGGGCCGCCTCTTCTCTTGTCTCCTCCTCCTGCTCCCATTGTTTCCCCTTTGCCCGTTTGCTGCTGTTCCAAGGAGCCTTTTTTCGTGTATTTAGGAGTTGCATGAGAACTGTCAATATTTGCACTTCATTTATTTATTTTGCAACAGGCTGAGCTTGGTTCAGTCGATGCCCCAGCTCAGGAGTGCAGGTTCAGAGAGGCAAAGCCAGTGTTGAAATCGCTGTTTGCCATACTAGAATGGGTTCTTTGAGGCAAAGTCCATTATGGGAGGGTAGATGCTTTTAGCTGTGCCCATCATTAGTGGGGGTGCTGTGAATGTGTTTAGGGGACAGCCCACCTGCTTTGACTTCATTCTGTGTTGGTTTGGGTAGGGCAAGGGATTGGAATCACATTTGTAGTCATCTCATCTTTAGTCTCTTCATCTAATGAAAGCTGCTTCAGAAAATTTATAAAAGAAAGCTATTTTTAAAGCACCCTGTCCATAGTAGATTTTCTAGAAATGTTACTTTCTTCCCCTGTTTTTATGAAATCTTAGCTGATTAGAGCTAAGAAATAACTATAATGACAGGTTTTGTTTTTATCATGCCAGAGAGAAAACACACAGCTGCTTGGGTGTGAACTTTCTTATTTTTGTCAGAGGCTTTCTGATTATTGACCTTTTGTCTACTTGAAGATAATAATCTCCAGAGCTTGAAGCATCCCTGCCCACACCATGTTTGCCAGGAAGGGAAGAATTCAGCCCACTTTTATTGCAGAAGCTACATGACATATTTTGGCAGGACATTAAAAAACAAAGGTATTAAAAGGGACCAACAATTGTAGAAGTAACTTTACAGGTACAGTTTTCAAACCAAGAGACTGTTTGAGTTGGCAGAGGTGACAGCCTATGCCTGAGACTGAAGGTTATACAAAGGCCAGATTTTGGTTAAGTCCAGGGAAGCAAACTTTGATGCAGGAATGCAAGTAGGAGTGAACAGATGACCATGAGGAGAAATCAGTCTTCTGAGTAGATCAGAGGTTTTAACAGATCTTTTGGTCTTGGCATCAGACCAGGTATGCACCAAGAAGGAAAAGCTTAGTTTTTAAGTGGATACCTTGCACTGTTCCTCTTATTCCTTTTCCCTATTTAATGCAAGGACAAAGCTTTTGGGTGTTTACCTAGATAGTTTATGGCTTTTCCAAATTGGTCTGTGTTTTTACTTGAAGTGCAAATATGTGAGGCAGATGTTAAAACAAGTGACATAATATTTACATTAAGTTGCGTGTTTTGTTTTCGTAGCCTTAAATTGGAATGTGAGAAACTGGCAAGTGAAAAGACAGAAATGCAGAGGCACTATGTGATGGTAGGTATCAAAGATTAGGTTTTTTCCCTTTTCATGTAATAGTAACAAATATGTGTTCTCAGCATTACAGAACATGAGTTAATGAAATGCTTGGTTCTTTTTTCTTTTTACAGTATTATGAAATGTCATATGGATTAAACATAGAAATGCATAAACAGGTAAGCTTTAGTGAAGTCTCAAGTTGAAATGAGAAATAAAGTCATGATTCTATAGTACTGGCTTTGTCCTTAGTAGTGGGAGGTATCTGCATGCCATATTTCAGCCTTGGTTTCCCTTCTTGGGAATTGGGGGGTAGTGTTCTGCAGCAAGTGCTGGTTCTTGACAGTTTTAGAATGTTTAAGTTACTAGGTGAGAGGTGCTTTGGAAGTGTAAACTAGCCTGTTTATAGGCAGACTGGAATCGAGGCTTTGACTTGACTTTACTGCCTGGATACATTTATTCTCTTCTTGGAAGATCTGGCTGTCAAGTTCTGAAGTTCAGAATAGCTAATGTTTTTGTGCTGATTTGGAAAGAAGTGTGGCCCTTTGGGGGAAAGACGGGCATTCAGGAGTTTCTTTACTCAGGTTAAACAAGGTATAAGACGAACTGTGGAGTTTTGGGGGCTACATAGAGCGACACTCAGGATTAGTGGCATATTAGCAAACAACTTTTTAAAAAAAGTCTCAGTTGATACAGGTTTGGAGGTGAAAAAAGCATCCTTTTATGACCACAGCTTATGTTGGGAGTTGTTTCAGTCCTAGTGGTTTTAAAAGCATGAAAAGATTAGTGACTGGAAAGCTCAAGCTATGACTATGAGTTTGCAAGTTCCCATAAAATTCACACTTATGGCTACTATAATGGTGTATAAAAAGAGTATTGAGCTGGAACAAGGCACTAAGGACCTCATAAGAGAAGAAAAGCTAAATGATTGCTCAGCCCAAAGGACCCTCAATTGAGTAGTCATTGTCTGCCAAAGAAAGCATTAATGGCAGGGTATAAGTATTCTGGAGATATGCTGACATTCACTTTTTCATCAAGGCTCTGGTACAATAAGTCTTTTAGAAATCGATTGCCTCTTAAAAAATTATCATCAGATAAAGTTGCACAGTTGGACACATTTCAAAGTGCAACAATACAATTCTTACTTGATGTATATGTGCTATTTCATCTCAAACCCTTGTTTCATTAAATTAAAGAGCATGGCTGACCGGCTGGGGCACAGTGGAGAAATTGATTAGTTCAGCCTTCAGATCTTCCTTATATTCAAAGACTTTCATTAAGCAAGTGTGTTTCAGAGTTGAATTCTGCTTTTGTAACTCTGCACTCTTTGATTTTTAATTCATCATAGATTTCATAATGTTATGTTATCATCGTGTACCTTAGATCTGTTCTCAGATATGTGTTTGGAAGGAGATGGTTAAGTTCAGGGCTTTTCATTAGCAGTGTAATTGGGCCTTTAAAAATGCCAGTTCTGTTCTGATTTGCAGAGTTGGTAGCCTAGTTTCTGTTGGGTTTATGTCTTTGTTTCTGTGTGCTTAAAGGGGCCAGTGCCTGATTGAAGCAATTGTAACTTGTTGATAGTAATTATACTAAAAGATACATGGTCATTTAAATGAATTACACAAATAAACTTGGTGGAGGAGTTCTAATGTGCCACTTTGTTTTTTTAAAGTTACCCTAAAGGCACATTTTTTCCCCCCAACAAATTTTCTGGAAGGGTATGGAGGAGATTGAGCTTTCTCTTAAACTCATAAACTCAGAGGGTGTAATAACCTCACTGACTCCGTACAGGGGAACGCCACCTCTGTGTGATGTGTATTGGTGCTGGATTTATTGGGGGAGCTACAGGAGGTGTGAAATTCTCCTGGGTTCCTGTAGGTTACTTGGTGGACCTCTATCAAAAGGAAGAAGGGAGAAGGAGGATCAGGAACCCCATGGTGTGAAAATAGTTTTCTAATGAGTTTCTGGACTCCATTGGGCATTTGTGGGTATATATTGTCTGTTCGTGAGCCAGTGTGCGTTAATAATATGTTGTGTATAATTGGCTCAGTAATTTGAAAAATGTGAAAAGCTGAGAGATGTTGTGTTCTCCATAGTAGGATATTAAGCCCCCTGAAATTTGGTTTATATTGTAAATGCTGACAGACCCTTAACTAGAGTGGTATGCAAAGCCGTGCTGTAATTCAGTTTAAAGTGGCCTTACATTTGAAAAACATCCTTCTGAATGTCACACATTAATAATAAGTTCTGAGGAGGCATTTGGTGCAGCTAGTAATCATAATTCTTATTAAAACTGGTGACGTCTGGCCCCCAGGGTGTAGCCAGGCTCAAATTGATGCTTTTTGCCGCCTGATCACCAGCATGGCCTAAGTGCTCATTATATTGTAGAGAGGGCCTTTGGAGCTCTCATTAGATTTGACAGGAATTCTCTCTAGGGAGAAACTGGGCATTAGCAAGACTCCTGACAGGCTGAAATTAGTCCTGCTTTATGGCTTATAACCAAATGCTAGCAAGGCATCATCAGGGGACACAAAAAATTGTCATTTCTGACAACATCTTTGTTACTGGAAAAAAAAAATGCAGTGATGGGGAAACTTTCCATGGAGAGTGCTTTAGTGTCGTTAAGGTTTGTCTCCGTGTGACGACCGCTCTCCTCTTCACCTTTCAGCGGCTTTGTTGAGGGGTGAGTTTGAGAGATTTCAGTGTCAAATCTCACCACCACCTTTTCCGTCTGGAAGTTTGAAAGTGGAAGTACATCCAGATCAAGAATGGTATAATTGTGGTTTCCTTAGCTGGTTTGGTGCCCGCAGTCGTGTTTATGTTGTGTCAACACTTCCTGATAAGCCTTCCCCTTACTTTCTCTGCTGCCATCTCTGGCCAGTTACCAAAAAGTCAATGAAATCAGGGTGGTCATGGATATTGAAATCTCTAATTGTAGCATGAAGACAAAATCTTTTTTCCTTTGTGCTTTTTATAGCTTCCTGCTTGTCTGTCTCTTTTCAGGTAGGTCATGTAAACTCTAGGTATCTCTATACAGGAAGGCGGAGACTTTTCAGGAAAGTTGGAGCGATACTGCTACCACCAGTGTTCAGGCATATGAAAAAATAGGCTAATGTGAGTCCAGCTGTTTTTGAGGATAGGACTGTGCTTGGTGTTTGGCAGCTTGATAAAGTTTTTTTTTTTTTCCCTGTCATGTGGCATGGTATTGTTTCATTTGATATTTTGGGGAAGAAGATGCACTGTAAATCCTTACATGGGGCTTATTTATCCCACTTGTGTACCTGTTCAGCACACTGATAAAGCCATGCTTTGTAAGTTGTCATTATAATAAGTTGTCATTAGTGGCATGAATTTGTACAGCACTTAGTTTTCAAAAGCACCTGGCCTTGTCCTGTGAAGTAGATTGGGTAGGTGTTAGATTGGGTAGGTGTTGTGCTCTGCCTTGTCATGTGGGGGCAGATGCTCAGAGTCTGCAACTTGTCAGGGCCAAGAATCTACTGAAACTTGAGTTTGGGTCACCTGGTTCCGCATTCAGGGCTTCTCCCCTGTCTCCCCCAAACCTGCTGCCTTTGGAGGATGAGGCCAGTAGTGGAATCACACTTGAGCCTGTGCTTCACGACCTACATCTACTCTGCTTCGAGTCTGTGTTCGATCTTTATCTGTTTTGACCAATTTCACCATTTGCAAGACACCTTGGGGTAAGGCGCATATTGTAGAAATTAGGAAAATCAGCAGTACTGACTGGTGGGTGGGGGCTACAGCTGTGGGCAAGTAGAAAGTTGTAACCAACTGAGCAATACTGTCCACAGGTTAAAATAGGCCTAAGAACCAAAAAAAACCTGAAATGCGTTATCAGGATTCCTCGTTGAAACCCAGCAATGCAGTGAGTTTGATCGATTACTTTGCCTCTGTGCCTGTATTCTTTTGAAGAGCAGGCAGTGCTTAGGGCTCTCCGGGGTGGTGGAAGAATTTAAAAATAAATGAAAGGACTGATAGGAAAGCTTTCTGCAGTGCTGATTGTGGGGTGGGGAAGGAGAGGAGAAGGAGGGGGAAAAAAAAAAACAGATGAGAGCTGAACATTTCCAAACTCTGTGTGATAATTCAGCAAGCACAGTGTCTCAGACCATATAAATTTTGAAGTTAAAACTGCTTTCACAGTTTTGGTAAGTGCTTTAAAGTTCCTGTCTAGAAAGAAATGTTCTTCAGTAGTATTTTAAAAGTGTTGTGGTGGAACTGTTAGGGCTTCACTCGTGGGTTAATTCCTTAGATATGACCCTTATTATTTTGTCTGTACGTTTTCCCTTTCTTCCTGCTTTTAAACCATGTGGGTTTTCAGTCTACACCTTCTCATTTTGAGATCTTGTTTTTTTTTTTTTTTCTTTTTTAAGTCAGCATCTCCGAATGGAACTGAGTAGGCACTTGGAGTTAAAGCTCCATCTTGTAATACAAAGAAGATAGCTGTCATCGAGGTTGGAGTGGTCCCTCACTTCATTTCATTAGCCAGGCCTGTCCTTTACAAGTAGGAGTTAAGAGATAAAGCTCCCTGTGTGTAGAACCTAGATTCCGAGGTGCAAGATTAGCCTTTGTTTTTTTTGTTTGTTTGTCTTTATCAGCTAGCCAGGCGAATCCTTCACTCCTTACACAGCACCCTCCTGACCCCTTCCACAGCTGGGCTCATTGTGTGTTTCTTTCCAGGGCCGGGACTAGGGTAGGAGAGTGAGGCATTTGCCTTGGGCACAGAGTTTGAGGGAGGTGTCAGAAAGCCTAATTGTTTGTTCAGGCACTCAGTTGTGTCCCACTCTTTGCAGCCCAATGGACTGCATCATGCCAGGCTTCCCTGTCCTTCACTATCTCCTGGAGTTTGCTCACACTCATGCCCCTTGAGTCGATGATGCCATCCAACCATCAAGCTTTTTAAATACTTTTTTTCCCCCATTTATTTTTATTAGTTGGAGGCTAATTACTTTACAATATTGTAGTGGTTTTTGCCATACATTGACATGAATCAGCCATGGATTTACATGTGTTCCCCTTCCTGATCCCCCTTCCCGCCTCCCTCTCCATTCCATCCTTAAAGTTCGAAATCAAAGTCAAAAAATCCGTGAGGAACAAAATGCCAGCATGTTATGTAGGGGCAGAATCTGACAGGGTTGGGAATAGGGTGAGGTGAGGCCAGGGA